ATCATGTATTGTAAAAATATCGTAAAGTATCACAGATATTATATTTTTGCCACATTACCCATCTCTAATTTTATGGACATTAAACTGTTCTGTCAAAATTTTGAACACCTGAGGCTAAAAACAAACTGCATCTATCAAGTCTATCTCTAAAAATCACAGTACTGGTCACCCCTTCAAACTGCTTTTGCTTAGTCTAAAGCACGTGTCAAGCTCGAGTCCTCGCGGGCCAAAACACTACAGTCTTCAGCACACTGCCTCATTAAAACACACCTGATTCAGCTCATCAGCTAATTACCAAGGCTTTCATGAACTGAATTCAGAGCTTAAGATGAGGGTAAACACTAATCGTGGCCTGTAAGGTCCCCAGTTTGAGATGCCTGGTCTAAAGGAAGCACAACAAACCTGACGCCTGAACAGGCCGTGACCGTGTGGAATGGGGAAGCTTCAAATACGAGTCAGTCATTTACTTCTAGCGAGTTATCTAATCACAGACACACAAAAAGGCAGAACCGACTGGCATCTTCTTTCACATGTGGTATGTGCAACCAATCAAGGCTGTCTATTCATTTCTGTAGTGAAATTGTACTAAATACGGACGTCCTTGAGCGAGCCATGACGCTTGGAGAGTTACTGTATCCCTTCGTGCAGCAGTGCTCTGCTGTTGTCATCTCAACCTACAACACCATTCGAAAACATCAGCTGTCCTTTATATTGTGTGAACATTCAATGATGATTGTCAGAAATAAGTTAAAACAGCAATGCTATCTAAACTGACCAGCACTATTTTATGATGTCTATATGAATTATATGGCTGATTTCAGTCTTCTGTAAAATGACAGTCAGGAAAACTGTCACTCACTCTTTTACTTTAACCTGTACCTGACTTATGACCTACATACCAACAACTTGACAAGCATTCAAGGTCTGAAAACGTTGCTCACGTTTCATAGTAGTTTGCTATGATATTTTTATCATTTTGGACTAGCACTGCTGAGCCCTGGGCTGAAAGAACAGAGTATGGGAGAGGGGGATGAGCACTACAGAGAGGGAGAAAGTAAGCAATGGATGGAATGACAGCAAGCTAACAACACCAAGGACATGGCAGGACACCAGTACACGTACTCTCTCACACACACACAGGGACATGTTGAACAGAAATGGAGAGAAGACCGAGAAGAACATCAGTGAAATGTACTTTCATTTCATTCTGAATCATTCACACAAACATACAAGCTTACTAGAAGTGTAACAATATATTGCATTGTACTATAACACTACTGTAATTAGGACTGACCCTAACTGTTATGTTGGTATTCAGTTTCTATTTAGAATTCTGTCCTTTTTTAGACCACAAAAATTGTGCCCTAATTTAACCAGCAAAGGCCTGTCGATAGGCCAGTTATCGCTAATATATGGAAAATGTTAAAAACGGTTTAACTGAATGCATTAAAAAAAAACAGCTATCCATGAAGACTCACCTCAGAGTGCAATCAATTTATCCACATGGCCAATAAAGCTAAATGAGCAAAGATGTCTAAAAGAAAAGCATTGTTTGGATGATAAGAAAAATGCTCAGTGAAAATGTGCGAGAAGTTGGTATACCATGGAGGCACAACACGTCTGATGAATCATCTCAAATATGTAAGTGCTGTGATATTTATCTGAGTACCACCATGGGTCCAAACTTCACAGCCTCAGCTCATCGCCCAAATGCTTCAGGAGTGATTTTTTGCCTCACAAAGTTGTACCACAGAAAAGGAGACCAAGCTCACCAAACTTCTCAGAGTAGGAGTGCTGATGTAGGATCAGATTCCTCTCATTTACTATGACTTTACTGACAGGAACGGATCCTAGATCATCATTCCTACTCTGAGAAGCTTTGTAAATATGTGCTACTGTTAGTACAGCACAGGAGCTGCTCTGCACCTACCACACTACAAACTGGAAGAGTTTACTCTTCACTTGTGCACAAGTGGACAAAAAGCAACAGGTCTGAAGGGCTCGTGTTCTGATGAACGTAAGAGACATTCCTGGGGCAGTCATTGTGACCGACACACTGATTTAAATGAAAGCCTGAAATTTTACAAGCTTTGGATAATCACTGATTGTAAAGCATCATATTGTGCAATGGCTAGCACATAATGGCTAATGGGTAAGCTCTGGGCTAATACATTAGCTTGTGGCTAGCATAGTAGATCACAGTTTGTGTTCCTGAGGTGCTCATTTGCACATGTCCACAAGGGTGTCCCTTTCTGGAGTTCAAACAGGTACTCAGACAAGCGCCATCTATGCACGCCATACCTGTATTGTAACACTCATATTTTTAATATGACATTCTTTGCACTTTAAAACAACTCTCCACACTTCACTGAACCCCCTCAAACTGATGAATATAACCAAATATGTAATTTCATAACTAAAGTAGTTCTGATTTATCTAATGAAATCTCCTGGCCTGTTGCTGCTAACACACACACACATGGATCACAAAACCTAAAATATACACATACATGTTTTAGCACACACTTTTGAAAAGACAATGAAACTGAAGACTGGGTCTCTGCTTCTATATAAAAGGCATGAAGCCCATCTACAGTCCTGCAGGTCAGATCAGCTCATTAGACACAACCGTGTGAGGCCAGTACAGCAGAAAGTCAGTGGTATAGCTGAGACAGCTTGTGCCCTGAGGCAATATAGTCTGTCAAACTAACAGCCATAAGTTTGCACCTGAATTTCAAGGCCATCCAGTAAAGGCCGGAACAGTATGTTTGCAAAATACATACGTCACCGGGTAAGACTGCTGAGAGATACAAACTGACGTGATTAGAGATTAAAATCAGTGTCAGGAGATAAATGGTTAACAAAGGATCATACTAACATAGATATCATGTTAAATTCTTTTGTCGTGAAGGGATTTTAGTAAAATAGGGCATTTCCTCAGGAGGTCCACACTGGCCAGGTGGGCATCATTTCAGATGATATAAAGCATAATACATCATTCCACTGCACTCGTAACCCCATGCGAAACCTAAAATTACAACAGAAGGCTTGGCTTTTGCAGGCTGCAGAGCGGGTTGATATCAAAGTCTTAGTACTTGTTATGGATATTGGTTGGGGGAAAATCAGGGTTCATTTCAGAGTCATTGAGTATCGAAAAAAAGCCCATTATCATAAATATTGTTCTTTTTTTCAAGCTCAAGTTTTTAACCTTACTGCAGAGTCACTAACACCTTTCCACAGGACAAAGATGTTGCATTCATACCTTCTAACTATCTTCAAAAAGAATCAGAGTCGCATTATAATACGGAAATGATTTCCATGTCAGGGGATTTGTTTAAAATGTTTCGATTTGACCAATATTTCATGACACATATACTGTACTCCAGAAGAACAGACTGTTTAAATAAATACTGTGCTAAATGTCTGCATTTTATCCATTTTACTGCACTTCTAACCCAAAATGTTCAAAAATAAAGAAATCTCCTTAGTCCAGTCCAGTTTAACTATGTACCAAAAGGCCTAATTTCATTATATGTCCATTTTTAGACGGGAGCTTAGAACCTTAGAACAGAATCACACAGGTTTTACAAGCACAGACGTAATAACTATCGGTAATTTCTCAAAAAGTCTGAGGAAAACTGTGGTAAAATCTAGCTTTTGAAATATGACAGACAAAGCTAACCTACTGAATCCTACTACACTGTTCTGACTTCTCCAAGTGCCTCAGAATGATCTTTCCCCCGTGTTTATGGGGGCTTAACGACAACACAGCGCACTGCCCCTCTATCAGCAACTACACTCCTCAGCCACAGGTAGGGTGGCCATCTGTGGTGGAACAACAAACTGGTCAAAAGCAGCACAACAGACATATTTCTAAAGGTTTTAACTAGAACGGTCGTTTAAGTTCTTCAGCTAGATCAGACAGTCTCTCTTCCTAACGTTAATACTTCTGGAAGACAGTTTTTGCAGGTCTGCAGTACCACAGACGTCCCTCAGGGGCCTGTAAGGTTTTGAAAGAGGAGGTAAAAATCTTTGTTTGAACCAGTTTAGTCCATGTTGTTTGGGCTCCAGGCTTTCAGCCGAAAGGCAGAGAGACGTGTGCCAAAAAGGAGCAAAATACTCGAGTCTAAAAATAACCGGGAAGTCTGGACGAAGCCTTCTGTTTCTGTTTACTCTTCACTGTTAGCCTAGCAAGATTAGCAGCAGAGCTAACTTAGTTAGCCATCCAGGCATCCCAGCGTTAATGGACTCATTTGGACTAGAACAAAGCGCTTCACTGGCAGGCGAACCGAGCTCACATTGTCCGTCTGAAATTAACCCAGCTACGGGTTATTACATCCCTGACGTGCAGGAAAACAACATCTAGACTCTACAATCTAGACTCTTGACTAAATTACAGCCTCTTATCAAACCTCAATCTAGAATATCGTCCTTAATTCACCCGCAGCCCCGAGGCTGTTAAACGGCCAAGAATTCCCCTCACTTTGTTCCCAAAGGGTAACAGAGAAAGGATTTAAAAGCGGTAGAAATGCTCTCAGGATTTTGTTGTTCAACTTCTGACACCACCACAGTTTCATACTTTTTCCAAGCTGAAGTTCTTCGAATTTTCCGTTCCACCTTAAACGGTGCGGCAGTTACGTTCTGGCGCCTCAGCCGCCAGAGTGAAACTGCTGCACCATTTAAGGTGGAACGGAAGACTCCACTAAGAAGTCAACTTCGCAACTTTCTGTCGTGATTTCCTCAGACCAGCTGGCTTAACGAGCGACTCTTAAGTCAACACTAGACTCCAAAGATAAGTAAAACAACACGCAAATGATGGTGCAGCCTAAACCAAACGTACATCCGCGTTAAAGTTAAAAGTCCGGTGATTTCCCGGTCCCTTCCCCCGTTTCCCTCAATACCGCCATATTGGCAGCTCCTCCGGCTCAATGAACCGCAGGAGTGTTTCCAGCGTCTCTCAAAAACACACCGAAGGTGATGCAGATGCAGATCGCCGCTTACCTTGGCTATTGCTTTCCTGTATCTCATGGTGGCCTGTTGGATAAGCGTGTGTACTTTGATATTTCCATCTCCGCACGGTACCACAACCCGAGTCCTTCCAAAACACACCGTCACTTTCATACTTTTGGTTCTCTCCCAGACCGTCCCGAATCCAAGAGGGAAAACTCAGGGCGAAATATTCCCGGGCTCCGGTGTGCGGCTCATTAATCTTCTTTGGTTGAGAGTTTGTATAGATCTGAACATGAGCTGAAGAAAGAGTAATAGGTACTAGAGAGTCCGCCGTCCCATCGTGGCGTAACGTAGACTGTCCGTTTGGTGTGTGAGTGCGTGACCACCTGTTTGGCGTTTGGAAGCTGGAGAAGCCGCTCACAGTGAATGAGGGAACAGCTGTCTGGCGCCATCTGGTGGTTACAGCCTGTAATGACACTCAGAGGAAGAAAGTCCTGAAGTAAGATTAGTTCAGCACAGGCCCTTTGTTTGCAACATAGCAGCTAAATTCCCAAAGGAAGTATATAACTATCTAACCACAGTTTGTCTTCACATAGGGAGGTTTTCCAGGGGAATTACAACATGGCTTCTCAATTCCACACCTAGCAACACCATGCTTTGCACATTTTTTTGTTTTCTCTGTTCTGCATCACTGTTTCTCAACTCTGGTCCTGGAGGCCCACTGCCCTGCTATTTTTAGTGTTTTCTAATTTTTTTACTCTTTTGTTTTCTCTAGCAGCCCATTACTGAGTTAATGTGAGTGTGATACAGCAGGAAAAGCACAAAAAATGTGCAGGGCAGTGTTTCTCCAGGACCAGGGTTGAGAAACACTGCTCTACACACCTGACCCAGCCATCAAGGAGCTTGCCAACTGGTTATTGAGTCGAAAGAGATATGCTAGATGAGACAAAGCAGTGCATAGCGTGGGATCTTCAGGACTGGGATTAGGACCCCCTGCCTTATAGAAACGTCTGTGCATTTCACATGTAAAGTGTCTTAAAAAACATCTTCACAAGTTAACATGTGGCATAATGTGAATAATATATGGTCACGTGGGATACATCACATGTGCCCTAAAGTTATTACATTTTTCATGTTTTCTCGAGTACACCTGAGTATTATGTTGTATGTGTTTTGCCTGATTATATTAAATTATATGAAATGCGCAGGAATGTTACACCATGAAACAACACATGAAAAGTATAAATGAATGAATCATGATTTGAGAAAATCACAAGTAAAAAATAAAAAATGTGCATCACATGGAAAAAGGTGAAGAAAAATGTGTGAAGTATTGTGATTTTTCTGTAGTGGACAGAAAGATAGATAAATGAATGGATAGACAGAACAGCTAAATTCCTACAGAGATTATATTACTGCAGTTTGTCTTCACACTGAAAAGTTTTCTAGAGGAACTGCATTGTTCATGTGTCAGGCAGTGTGTACAGTCATGTGCAAAGGTGGTCAAATTACACGTTGTGTTGATCTTCTATGTGGAAATAGCACAAGAACACACTTCTACACGTTGTTATGCACAGTTACTGTTTGTTTGCTAAATTCAACATATTGAGGGGAAAATAAAATATAAACTGTGGCCTGTGCAAAAGTTATGGCAAATTTTATGTATTCCAATATGTTAAGCTCAGCCAATAAACAGAAATTGTGCACTCATATGTGCAGAACAATGCTATATTTAGGCTTGTTCCCCATAAAGGATGTGTTAATTAATTTTCACAAAATATGTAATTTGACCGGAGTTGCTCAAACCTTTGCATACGACTGCATGTGTACGGACAGATGTACTGCACTGAGCCAAAAGAAAAAGTCAAATCAGGTGGAATTTACTTTAATTTTGTTATTTTCTTTTTTGGTAAAATATCCTTTCACAAAGCAGCTGGTGTGTTTCAGATCGTTATCTTTTGAGCAGTTTCTATGCAGGCTTCTGCAGGTTTGCATCCAAAATGCCTATGTACACATCTGAGTTCATGATCCCATCAATTAACATCTGTGATCCACCTCTGTGCTTCACTACTATTAGTGCAGTCTGACTGGAATTCCTCTCCGGGCCTCAAACAAGAGTCTTCAATCAGTTTGATGTTGTGCTAAAAGAAATCTGAAGAACTTAAAGTCTACTAAAGGTTAAAGTGTCCAAATACTTTTGGGAGCCACTTTACTTGTGTGTGAGCAAGAGGGCACGCAAGAAGTGTGGAGTCATGTTTGCATATTGAGTATGTGTGTGTGTGTGTGTGTGTGTGTGTGTGTATATGTTCATGTGAGTGCATCAGTGCTGCATGACAAAATTGTGATTGGCCAAGATGCTCCCATTACAGTAAAAACACTGTTATTGGTTAGACACTTATTTTCATATTGCAGAAAATATTCTGCAACACCAGTATTGCAAAAGCCAGTATCATGATATATTGTGCAGCTGTAGTGCGCATGTATTGCTGCTGTTCTTCATGTCTGAATCCCATCTGGCTTTGGTTTCTGTTTTTGGGGCAGGGCTGAACAAAACACCAAAATAGAACCATCAAGCAGGTGGCATTTACCAACACACACACAGCGGTCTGGATTACTAGGCCAAGGCAGATGAGTGTGGAGGTTTTAGTGGTGCAGCTGAGGGATTATAGAAGCTTTTGATCTATACACAGCAACAATGACCTCACAGCATCATTTAACCAAAGCAGTGCTACATTTAACACTGGCATTCTACAAGCACAGCTCACCAAGGCATGTGCAATAGTCTCAGAGAATTACACTGAAGGAGATTCAGTTTATGTGAGGCTCATATAAGACAATCACACAGGGGCACACAGGGCACATACTAATGCACGGAAAGATGTAACAGTGGATTCTTTATGTAGTTAAACAGGCCCAAGTAGAACAGCTTTTCGGTCATCTATTCGTATTCCTACAGCAATGTCATCTGTGAAGTTGACTGCTGCCTGGCAAAAATTTGTCAAGATTCATCCTGTTGATCATTATTGTACCATAAAATAAATGATTTTCAATGAGTTTTTCAATGAGTTGTGAGGGTCACAGAACCCACATCTATATTATTTCAATCATCTTTAAGGCAGATAACGATCACTCTCGCTCTATGGAATTGGTTCAAACTGTAGTTCCACAGTAAAAACAATGTTAAAAAAACATTTACATGTTCAGAGCTTAAATATATGATCTATTTAAAACCAAGGCCTGATTAAGAGAGTAATAAGCTAAATATATACAAAATCATCATTTATAGTGTATGGTCTATTGAGAACCATATTGTCTCAAATCCCTAACACCTGATTTTCAACTTAATGCTTTTTTGTATTTTTTTTTCTCCATGTTTTTTAGATGAAGACTAAGAGACCCTTATTAGTCCCACAATGGGGAAATTTCACTTCTGCATTTAACCCATCCGAGCAGTGAAACACCACATACACACTAGTGAAGACACACACTAGGGGGCAGTGAGCACACTTGCCCAGGGCGGTGGGCAGCCCTATCCGTGGCACCTGGGGAGCAGTTGGGGGTTTGGCGCCTTGCTCAGGGTCACCTCAGTCATGTATTGTCGGCTCGGGGGATTGAGCCGGTGACCTTCCGGTGGCAAGGCTGGTTCCCTAACCTCCAGCCCACGACTGCCCCCAGTTCTATAAGGCCTTTTTTATTTCTTTTACATTGAAGTTTTATTTACATTTATTATGGGTTTTCCTTTTTGTTTAGAAAATGCTGTCTTACATTTTCATGTTACTACCAAAATACAGTCCATGGGCAGAGCCTTATTTTAGCCACACCCCTGCATTTTAGAGTAGAAAGTAAGACTGCATCCCTGTCCATCATGGCCACATGATGAGCAGTTAGATCCCACTGTTTTGAAGTAAGTGTGTCCCAAAGTCTGAAAATCAGTGTGGAACATTAAGAATTGTCACAACTGAAACACATTTCTGCAATAAAGTAAAGTACAGCCTCCACATGGTGGGATTAGTTTTAATGTGGTGTTACAATAGAGGCCCCCAGAGGTAAACAAAGATAGGCTACACATCCTTTCAGACTCATAGTGTTGAGTTGTTGTCTCACAGTGGAAGGATGAACAGAAACACCTGTGGATTTTTTCAGAGCTGAAGAAAGAGTGGAGCTTGATTTTCTCCTCTCTCTCAAAGATGAAAGCTTTAAGTACTGTTCATCTGATGGTGGCAGGTTTGGTGGTCTACCAGGTCTTGCATGGTTGTTAAGAGCCCCAATCTCTCTATATGTTTTAGTCGTTTTTTTGAAGTTTTGGAAACTTGTATTTTCTTTGACATTCTCCAAATGCCATACTCCTTCAGTATTGTATTTGGATGTATTGTATCTGGTTACCAGCTGTGAATGTGTATATGTTAAAACATACACACAACCACACACACACACACACACACACACACAGATATTTGAACAGAAACAATCCACCACTAAATCCCTGAAGCTTAACATTTACCTTGTTACAGAAAAATAGATATTATATAAACATTTTTATGTAGGTATAGAATACCTACATGTCTATTATTAAAATTAAAAGTGTAGTTCATTTGATCAAATAATAATAATAAATACATAAATAAATAAATAACGCATACCACAGTCTCAAGATCACAAAGATTTTATTCATCATTTATTAAACTCCTACTACAATCAGTCAGTACAAATACAACACAATCATACATCCAGCTGTATAGCTCTCGGTACAAACATCTCTTCTACAGTTATTATGGTCCAAACTGATATCATGCTTTGATTTCTAAACCATTTCAAAATGTTCATCATTGACAAATAGCTCAGGTCTGCACAATCTCTTTGTTGATACTCGGAAATATATTAAACGTCCCCTGAAGCTGTGGCTGAATTTAGCGTTTTATACTACCAGAGCACATAGTGCCAGAGCATCAGTGACTTCAGGTGTGTTGAAAAGCTCTACTGCAGGTCATTATTCACTAAGTTACTGCAGTCATGTACATTCTTATAGATGCTGCTTTGATTCTCTGTGGACACCTGCTGTCCACTTAAAATCATAATTAGTGAAACATTCATATTAGTAAGAGTTCTCTACAGCGTTAGATTTAGCTGAAGTTCAGGCTGACCTTTCAGCTTCTTTTAGTCCTCTTTTAGCCCTAAGTCATGTATGCATATGGGAGTGTTATGATTATGGTGGTAAATGTCATAGGATTGACTTGTTCAGCTAAGGAAGCATCAGCTGTCAGACTCTTAATAAGCTGTTTTTTCTTTTTTTCAACATTATAATTTTCCAGAAACTCCCAAACCACGTCATTAGTCATTTACAGCTCATGCAGACATCCTATATGTCCAAAAGTTTGTAGACACC